CTCGGCTTTGCCTCGGGCATCATGGCGCGCAGTGCAGGAATCTCACACTTTCTGCCCTTGTAGTGTAATATACTATTATTTAACTTTATTACCAATTAGGTAGATACTTATCAGTGATAAGTTATCACTAGTGCGCAATGTAAATGTAAGTTAAACCTTTATAATCTGTGGTTAAATGTAACCTAACCACTCAAACAAATTGCAGTAATTTCGCCCAAAAAATGAATCCCCAAATGGCATTTTAATCATAAATTTGCCAGAAACACTCCATCAATCGGATTTTATTAAGACATTTAACAGCCGGGAATTGTTTTCGAATTTTGATTCTTGGTGATTTCGGTTTTATCTGAAACTTAAATTTGACAACTGAGTCTCAATCAGGAGGTCAAAGTTATAAAGAAAACATGTCACGAACGTAAATATCGGTTCAGGTTTAGTTTTCGCAAATTTTCACCAAAATGTCATTTTGAAAAAGTGGTCGTTGCTTAGGCCTCTCTGAAAATAATGGAAGTTTGTTGCTTGTCGCTTGTTCAAAATTATTCAAGGAACAATCTTTCACCATTTTATCTTCTTGTTCTTTAAAAGACTAAGTGTGTTGCCTACCAAAAACCCTTAAATGTACTCTTTTTCAAACGGGGCTTGGATGAAGTTATTGAAATTTTTCACCGTTTTACATATCACCCTGTAGGAAATTTACTTGAAGAACCGTGAGCTTTATATCTATAGCATGAATTGCCAGTGGATGATGCTAGCAGACAACACAGAACAAAACTAAAAACCTAGCAAATAAAATTAAATATATTTATATTATTGTTCTACTTTTATATAGATCATTTTTGGTGAAACCTCTATAAAATAAATGTTTGAACCATGAGAGCACAACAATTTATATAAACATCATATAAAAAATTTATATATTAGGAATTTAGTTTAATAAAAATGTTATTTTACATTTTATTCAGGACCGTCTCCTGCTCATTTGTCCTGCTAAGACCTTGGGACGCAGCTACAGCAGGAGCGCCGAAAGAATCATAACCATTAATGGCGCCGCGACGTCGTCGTCGGCGTCGTCGGCGTCCTGATAACAGACACATACAATGTTCCCTGTTCGATGGCCAAATACGTGTGTGGCCTGCGAATTTCACTCCCGTTTTGGCAACAATTTACTTGAAATATAACCGAATTTACAATAACGGTTTGCTCGTGAAAACTGCCCGGTTTTACAACAAAGAACAAACTTAAACTTACATTTTTATAGCCAGTTAGTAATTATATATATATAATTAATTTATATTACATTTGTTATATACAGAAATGACAATAATTTATTTTTTCTACTCCCACCTTTAAAACGCGCTTTATCGTACATGTTTCCATGACACTAAGTGACCTTTTAAATACACATTGACAAGTTGTGGCTTTACGGCGCTTTAGTCACGGGCTGAAGTTAGCAACAGGTTTTTAGTCACGGGCTGAAGTTAGTTTTAAGTTAGTTGACAGTTGTCAAATGTCATACAATCGTTAAAATAAAGTGCCGTTATTGTAAAATAATACTAAATGTGAAAATTATTTTATTATCTCAATACAAAAATACAAAAATATTAAATAGTTTCTCAACGCCAATATTTGAAAAGTTTATATGAACATTGTACTGACCTTTTAATTTCGTCGGCAGTAAACTATAACTTAAATTCGGGCACGGACTCTACTGTAAAGTCCTCATAATACATTTCCTTTACTTTCACTGTGAAAAACTGTCAATTTTCAAGATACATTTCGATTTATAACCTTTATAATTGTGTTTATAAAATGTAAAAATGTGACATTTGACAGTTTCCCCTGTTGTTACATAGATGGCGTTCTCAACAATTTTTTTATTTAAATCATTTTAAGATAATAATAAGTATTTGTCGTAGAAAAAGTATAGTATGCACCTCGTTTATAAACTTTTCTATACACTCATTAACTTAAGCACTCGCTCGCAAGATTGCTCGTGCCTAAATTAAATTCGTGTATAAAATGGCGTTTATCAAACTTGATACGTAATATACTATTACATTGACGAGCTGTGACTTCATGGCATTTTAGTCACGGGCTGAAGTTAGCAATACTGGCTTTTGGGCATTTTAGTCACGGGCTGAAGTTAGTTTTATAATAAATTAGGGAAAAGTGAGGTTAAATCCGTTTAGGGTTGACAGATGTCAAATGTTACACAAATAAAATTTGCTTTAAATTCTTCTTTGTGTTCGTCATAGATAAAGTATAGTATGCAACTCGTTTTATTAACTTCTCTAGACACCCGCGCCCAATATAACTCGTAATTATTAAATGGCAAAGAACAAATATGTTATAAAACTTATACAATTTCACAAAATGTTGATAAAAGTTATCAAATTATAATCCATATTGCGGTTTAGGGATTTATGCTGCAGTTGGTAGGTACACGACATGTAAACATAACCTTAATTTTTATCTTAAATAATACATCACACAGATTATAAGCATATATTATCAAATCTAGGCTGAAGTATTGTTGGTAAAGTGTTTAATAATTTTAAAATTACTGATAAATGTTCCTCTAAAAAATAATATTAATAGTAAAATCATTGGTAAAATAGTATATTAAAGAACTAATGGTATAAGACGTCATTTTGTCGCACGCAGACAAAAGGTCTTACAGGTGTTCTTTATGCTATTTTATCTATTTTGCAAAAATTCTATAAAAAAATTAATTTTATACCTTAAATTTTATTTGGTCGAATTTTACTTTAGATAGTTGGTATAACAATCATTGGTTTGACAGTTAATGTCAAAGTCGATTCGCCATGCCGTCCTTAATTTACTTATTTACAATAAGCGTGTGTTAATGATAAAGAAGAAAAAAAGGATTTTCTTTACTTTTAAACAAAATTTATTGCCAGAAAAGTCTCGTACTCTCGTACTAGAAAAATCATAAAAATATTATAACCAATATGCAAAATATTATGCTGTTTAAAGTATAGTCAACCTATAAAATCAAAATTTTTACGTGGGATAAAGTACCTATCTCATTACAGCACCGAAAGCGGTGTTATAATAAAGTCATTATGAACGCAAAATAGATAAAGTATTTTTTATGATAGTAACTGACGTTTTTATTAATGAAAACATATCGTGTTGCCAAATATGTAAAAAAAACATCTATTTGCGTATCGTAATGAGATATAACGCAAATGCCTATCATAATGTTGCTTATTATGATACTTAAGTATATAAACTAATATTATAATTTTTATTAAATTAATAAAATAAAAGGGTTGGGGTTGGTTTGTCTCTGTCCGATCGAATTTGATTCCTAACCTAAAAAAATGGGTATAGATGTCGCTCTATACAAATATTTAATTTAAATCATTTTTATAATGTATGTATGTATGCAACTCGTTTATAAAATTTTCTAAACAATCATTTAATTAAGCACTCGCTCGCAAGCTTACATTAAATTCGTAAATAAAATGGCGTTTATGAAACTTGATACATAATATACTATTAAATCAGATAGAAATTATAACATAATAAAAAATTTGATTTTTACAGATTTAAGGATTGCAAAATTAATTTCAGGTATAAAATAAACTAGAACATACTTTTTTCAAGTCATATCTTGTAATTTATTCTTGTAACATTTAAAAAAATCGTTTAGTTCATCAACATTTTATGAATTATTTTTTCTTTTTTCTTGTATATTATTTTAATTCTAAAATCAAGGAGGAATCTAAAATGTCAATGAATACTTTGCTTATAAAACCTATGCTATACTCGGCGCAATGATTGGAAATTTAAAAGAAAGATTTTCCTCAGAAAGTCAATAAATGACCAATGCTATCGACAATTTTATAAAATTTGATTTTGATGGTAGTTCTCGCTTCGTTAATCATAAGCTATCAAATTTAAAATACCGCAAGATATTTTGAAAGCTTAAATGATCGTCATAAAAAACACCATAAAACATCGAGATGGCTTAAAGAGTTCAATATTAAAACTTGATGGTGTTATCCCGTGATATTTAATAAAACTAAATGAGTTTCACCTACACTTTTATTGTTTTATGATCTTTCATAATTAAGTAGATATTACAGTTCAGGTTCCAGATTTTTAACCGCAATTAATTATTTTTTACAACGTTTTAAAAGTCTAAAACCTATCCTCCGTGACTGTTACTCTTTCTATATGTTTTCAAATATCTGAGGTAGTAAAAGCATACTGAAAATATCAGTTCACTAAGTAAATTAAACACATCCAAAGCAATCGAATCAAATATAAAATATAATTAAAAGAAATAATTTTTCTAACCATTTATGTAGGTGTTACAAAAATTGATTCTATCCTCCGTGAATCTATTTTTGCTTTAAATTGTATGCAACAGATAGGGCTTTAATAATTTTAAATAAGCAAAAACCTCTGTTTTATTATAGATGCATGGGATTCCTAAAGGTCAGTTAGAATTAATATGCAGATGAGAGTGTTGCTGTTTTATAATTCAAACGTTTATGTATGAACATATGTATTTTTAAAAACTATTAAGGTGTCAAAAGATACAATAACTTATTTTAAATATACAAAGGGACGTTTTAAAAAGAACATACGAAATCCTAACCTTCGTGAAGCTATCTTCCGTGAAGCTCTAATATTCAAAATGTATGATTTCCTAAAATTCTTGCATTACCTCATTCTAGACTAACAGTGAAACAACCAAAAATAAAAAATAATCATTTTTACTTGGGGGCCATCCCAATATATTCATCCATATGTACTTAATTTTTACTAAATAGATGCCTATAAATTTTTGAAAATAGCAATTTATTTTCTATGTGTATAATATAATAATCCAAAAGATTTAGGTTCGGACTACAACTGCACCCCCAGATTTGGGTGTCTAACTCCGCCTATGCACTTCATTTATATTTATTTTTTATCAAGATTATTAATCGAAAAGAAAAAAAGAGTAATAATTTTCGTCCGCATGAATTTTCCATTATATTAGGCACCCCATTAGAATTTAATTATGCGCCGCGTCCATTTACGCGATAATTCCATTCCGCAGGCCACTAGACCGCGCTCGTTTTCCGATGAAAATCCATTTGCCGGCGCCCACTAGACCGTTGTTCTTGTTGTTATTCCTCGAACGTCAAACGTCGCACACTCGATCGTTTCAGTTTTACATCGACCGGAGCAACGAATATAGGCGACGCCGTCGTTTTGCTTCCCTCCGTTTTCCACAAGACGATGTCTGCTACGGATTGATTTCACGGTTTGCGAACTTTGGATAACGTCTTTTTTAGTGTGACAATGCGGTTTTGGATAGCGCACGAAAATGGTACGTTATAAATAATATTTTATGTTGAGAGCACTGAATAAACTACACTTGCATAAATTCTAATCAAGTAAAATATGTAAATAAATGTTAAATAAATAAACCCAATAAATCCTTATTGGATTTTTTTATTATTAAATTATTACAAAAAATTCAATATAAAATAAAATTACAAACTTATATTTAAATTAACTAACTTAAATTTTAAATACATGATTCTAACTAAATATATTCTAAACATACTTAAATCTGGTCTAAAATTGTGAATATAAATTTTAAATAAAGCTTAATTATTAGGGTTAAATTATTTATTTTCATTTAAATATTTTGATAATTAATCTTAAATTATTATTGATTGTTATAATAGTATATTATGTATGAAGTTTGATAAACGCCATTTTATACACGAATTTAATTTAGGCACGAGCGAGCTTGCGAGCGAGTGCTTAAGTTAATGAGTGTATAGAAAAGTTTATAAATGAGGTCCATACTATACTTTTTCTACGACAAATACTTATTATTATCTTAAAATGATTTAAATCAAAAATTTGTAAAGACGCCATCTATGAAACAACAGGGGAAACTGTCAAATGTCACATTTTTACATTTTATAAACACAATTATAAAGGTTATAAATCGAAATGTATCTTGAAAATTGACAGTTTTTCACAGTGAAAGAAAAGAAAATGTTTTATGAGAATTTAAGTTATAGTTTACTGCCGGGAAATTAAAAGGTCAGTACAATGTTCATATAAACTTTTGAAATATTGGCGTTGAGAAACTATTTAATATTTTTGTATTTTTGTATTGAGATAATAAAATAATTTTCACATTTAGTATTATTTTACAAGAAAGGCACTTTATTTTAACGATTGTATGACATTTGACAACTAACTTAAAACTAACTTCAGCCCGTGACTAAAAACCTGTTGCTAACTTCAGCCCGTGACTAAAGCACCGTAAAGCCACAACTTGTCAATGTGTATTTAAAAGGTCACTTAGTGTCATGGAAACATGTACGATAAAGGGCGTTTTAAAGGTGGGAGTAGAAAAAATAAATTAATTTAATTAATCGGTAGTAATTTGACACTGATGAAATAAGAAGGGACATTCCATTGTAACTCGCGTTAGAATCAGATACATTATCCCAGACTGCAATAAAGGTTCGAAAATATTCCAGGAATATGCCCTATCATCTAGAAATATTCCACTTCATTCTAGGAATATTCATTGGGAATGTTCCATAGAATGATCCTCTAAAACTTCCAAGCACCATCTAAGAACATTCCCAGTGAATATTCACTGGGAATATTTCATAGAATGATCCTCTACAACTTCCAAGCAACGTCTTGGAACATTCCCAGTGAATGTTCTTTATATTCAAAAAACGATAAATAATTTTCTCTTTCTACAAATTGGTTTTATTCCAGGAATATGCGTTATCATCTAGGAATAATCCGCTTCATTCTAGGAATATTCATTAGTTTAGTTGCAATACCTCTCACCGTTGCTTACGCAATCTTGATAACTATATATACCGATAGGTTAATAATATTAGTTGGAGATGTGCATCTGTGATGGCACAGCTAAAAAATGATTAGAGTGTGACTGATCTACTCATTTTAAAATAATAATAAGTATTTGTCTTAGAAAAAGTATAGTATGCACCTCGTTTATAAACTTTTCTATACACTCATTAATTTAAGCACTCGCTCGCAAGCTCGCTCGTGCCTAAATTATATTCGTGTATAAAATGGCGTTTATCAAACTTGATACATAATATACTATTATTCCATAAAATAAACTTAAGTAGTTACTAATAGGACTCATTGATAACATAACAAGACTTAGTTGTAACATAACAGGTTTCATCCTTGTAAACTAAAGAGGTGTGGATCAACTTAAAAACTTATTATTAGGCTTAATAGGCCACCTACAATATAGGTACTTCCTTGCAGTCAAAGCTTTAGTGCCCTGCTAAAGTTTGCAAAGATACATGTGTAAATTAATAGGATTTATAAAAAAACAAGAAATTCAAAAAAGTGTGACCTTGGGGGAGGGGTCTAAAATCGTCAAAATTTGAAGTACATTATTACAATTTAAAGCCTGAGTCATATAATTTTAAAAAACAATTAGTTATACCCTAAACGCATTATTTATTTCTATCCTTTATACTATATACTATAGGTACATTATATTTATTAATGGATTCTAGTATAATACTATAGACACTATTGTTAGTAGGTATATAATTGATTAATAATATTTTTTGTTGCAGGTGAGTACATTTTTAATTTAAAACAAGGGATGGTAAGAGACAAAAAACATACTTAATTAAAAAAAAAAATTATTTTGAAAACCATATTTTAACAGATCCATAAACATAAAACAAAAATATGTCATTGACAACAAACAACAATATTAAAAATGTTAAACTTAAAGGATATTTATTTTACGTCAAACTTAACAGAATTAAATACATAAAGTTCCTGTCGGGAACTATTAAAACCATAGATTAAATCTATAAAAAAAATAAACACAATGTGTCATATGTCATTTTAACATTAAATTGACACACACAGGCTAAATAACGCTAACACCGTAAAGTGCTCATAAAACATTTTCTTCACTTTCACTCTGAAAAACTGTTGTTAATCCATTTTCAAGGGATACATTTCGATTTATAACACATACAAATTTGATATTTGACGGTTACACAGATTCTCCATTTTTAGATAATAATAAGTATATTCTAGACACTCCATAACTTAACCTAAATTAAATTCGTGTCTAAAATGGCTTGATACATAATATACCACTATTAAAAATATAATAAGTTTTAAAATCCAACTTTATTCAAATGTGGTTAATTACCACTGATTATATTTTATTTTAAATAATAATACCCATATAAAGATAGTAATTTAAATTTTTTGAAATAGCAGTCATTATATAAATATTTTAATTTGCTTTCAAATTTTTCTTTGGAATCTTAAAAAATCCGTCCTTTTTAAATTAGTTTATATTTCCATAAAACGTGCAATATTTTTTATTCGATCACGACAAGCTATAAAACGTTAATACATAATAATCTTACCTCACGCAACTGTCTCCCGTCTAACGGACAGGTTTCTGAGAAAATGTGTGGGCTGTCGTAATTTTTCCTTCTTTTCATGCCTAGACATGTCAAATTATTGAATTCCTGAATGTGTTGGTAATTTTCGTTCACATTGAGTGAAGTTTAATAGAAAAAATTTAACGAAATGAGAATGAAAGGTAAAATTTAAATTTACTTACCGAATTGGATCCTTTGGCAAAACATGAAAATGCAACGATTTAGTTCTTGAATTTTATTTACAATTAAAACACAATAATTCACCATGATCCCTCAGATAAAATACACACACTAACGTAACTATATAAGCATTTAAGCGTCGAGTTTCTTAATCAATGATATAAAGAATAATCAATCGAAATCGAGTACTAAACCAGTTTTTTAGTTTTTTCCGTGCAACGTAAATCACAAATAACGTGCGCAATTTAGCTGTGCAATTGAACAAAATTTGCCGAGTAAGACTTCTGCCTTCCCCTATTTAGTGAAAAAACTACCTATTTATTTAAAAATGATGTACAGTTCGTATGCTTTAAATGTATTGTTGGCAATTCTTAAATTTACGCAATGCTTTTGAATTCCACCGGATGGCGCGCGCGTTGCGAAAACCCGATACTTCTTTAGCGTATATCGTCAAAAAATATTATTTTGAATACCACTCGAGATTCTGTCAAAAAAAAAATCTTTTTTGGGAATAAACCGTAATTACAAAAATAACACAATCAACAATTATTAAGTAACGTCAAACTTACAATTTGCATTGTATCATTAAAATAATAATATATTTCAATTTTGTAATTAAATTAAATTCATACAAAATGTCCCCCGTGTTTAATGCAAAATGTATTGTTGAAGTTATTCATTACACAAATAAATTGTGTTGAAATTTGATACTTATTTTGTTTGAATTAATTAATAAAATAAAACAATTTAATTTAAAATCTCATTAATAATAAATATGTTTGGTTTTGGAAATAATTGCATTATATGGATGGTATTTATTTTTAATACTTTTTTTTATAAAATACACTGAAATTCAGAAATCCGTCAGTGTACGAGGTGTGTTCAGAAAATTGTTAAATTTCGCGGCTTCGGAGGGTCCGGTTGTCATAAAATTTTATTTATTATGTTGGTATACATGCCTCCGAAGTATGATAAAAACTTTAGATGTTTTCATTGTTTACTTTGTCTGTGGCAGCCGCTAAGGTTAGACGTGTTTTATGAGCTCAGCGATTTTCGTTCGTTAAAAGAAATGGTCTTTGATCCATTTGTATCCAATTTTGCTTAAAAAATGAAATAAATTCTGTGAAATGTTAACAAAGGCCTATAGTGAGTCTGCTATAAGTAAAACAAGAGTTTACAAGTGGTATAAGAGTTTCCAAGATGGCCGTGAAGACGTTGAAAATGACGAACGCCCCGAACGCACAACCGATAAAAACATGGAAAAAGTGGAAGAAATGGTTATAAACCATCAGAGAAGTCGCTGATAATGTTGGTATATCGATTGGCTCATTTTTTCAAATGTTTTGTGTATGAAACGCGTGGCAGCAAAATTTGTTCTAAAATTGTTAAATTTTGAACAAAATTTTTGGCCAAAAACAATACTGTAATGATGCCCCAGCCTCCATATTCGCCAGACATGCCTCTGTCTGACTTTTTCCTATTCCCAAAAATAAAGAGAACCTTAAAGGGCCGTCGTTTTGCAAGCATAGATGACATTAAAAGCGCATCGCTGAAAGAACCAAAGGCTATCCCAAAGATCAAGTTTTAGAAGTGTTTCGAGTATTGAAAGAAGAGCTGGCACATGTGCATAATATCCAATGAGGACTATTTTGAAAGCGACAACATAAATGTACACGAATAAATAAATATTTGTTTCAAAAAACGAAAA